ACAACGCTACACGTTTTTTTCTTAACAATTCACTTCTCAATAATACTTTCATAGCGATTCTTATTTCAAAATTTATACGAAGGTAATGATTAAAAAATAAATGGATGAACGTTTGAAAGAACTGATACACCAGAATTTATACGAAGGTAATGAAAAATAAAAAAATTATCTACGAACATAAGCAATCAAAAAATATGATTGATGTATACTTCTGAATTATCTACGATTCGATAGAACAATACAATTACAAAATCAACACCAGATCACGATACAGTTGATTACAAAAAGTTGCAATTGCATCGTTGCGACGATGGAGTCATCGAGTCGCGTCAGTTTCTCTTTTGCTATGTCGGTGAAGCACGAGGTAACGTCGATCAATTTTCTTCAGTGTTTTCGTTCGTCTCCGAAGCTTTCGCAGCTGGTGAGTGTACTTGGTTGCGAGAGGGTTAAACGGAAGGTTAATGCAGCGAATAAACGTACCACGTTCCTGGCCGATAAATCACAAAATGGAGTGTAATGAAACCGGTTGAACGACTCGTGCTTTAATACGACAGTTGCTATCAGTTTTCGCTATTAATTGTTCACTCGCTTCGTGGAAACGCGTTATCGCGTCAGCGCGGCCGATTCTTTCGGCATTCGTCTTCTCTCTCTCTCTCTCTCTCTCTCTCTCTGCTACATTATCGTTGTTTCCGTTCCAGTGCTTGGCAGTTGTCGGAGCCAAGAGTGCGGACACGAAAGGCTGGTGAAGTGCGGAAGACCCCTCGAGAGAATCAACAGCGACTACTTGAGCTTCGCTGTGAAGAAGGAGGAACTTCAGCAGCTATGCCCGTGAGTTTTCCAATTAGATTTTCCTTAGATTTTCTTTCGCGCGGATGGCGGATTCTAGTTTCTCATTTTCGTATGTCGAATCGTCGTCGATGCGATTTTCGCACTGGAGACGATGTTACACGGTGTTTTTTTTTTTTTTGGTAATTCGGTCGTTTTATTTATATTTATTAAGTTTAAATTTAAATTCAAAATTATCATTGATACGGTACTTGAGGAAAATCACGCGTTTGTAAAATTACTGAATCATCAATTTGCAAAATAATTTTCAATTATCAATTTACAAGTTATTTCTGAATCATCAGTTATACATTTATTTCATTTATTTATTTATTATCCGTTCAAATTATTTTTCGATCAATTACACGTTTATCATTCGGTTAAAATTATTTCACAAACATTACGCAAATAAAATGCATCTGTTACACTCATTTATATTTGCGAGATATGAAAATTTTGTTCGCCGAACGTCGATAATAAAAAATAATGGAACAATCGAGATCAAGTGAAAATCGAACAAGTTGAAGAATTGAATTTTCTTCGTTTATAATTACGCCGTCTTAAAATTTCTTCGTAGATGGTTCTCGATTACTTCTACCGTTGACTAATCAGTCGGTTAAGGCCACTCTCGGGTTTGCTTTCGTTATCCAATTGTCGTTTGAATTTTCTCATGACGGATAAACAGCCACTCGAGAGAGAATCGATCGCGCTAATAATTCGATCGATCGAAACGAAGTTTAATGCGATTCGAATTTCTCGCTTGCTTACCCGAATTTATCGGCCGGTGTCTGTTTATTTTCTCTCGATCCAGCCAGCCAGCTAGCTAAGCTAGCTCGCGGAACGAGTTTCGAACGTCGAAAGAGAATTCTAATAAGCTGGCTCGCTAATTTGCTTGGAAGTTGCTGGAACAGGCCACTTGAGATTTCTTCGGAGTTTTAAATAGCCTCTTAAGAGCTAGCCGGTTAATTTTTTTTTCTCCCTCCCCCCAACCCTTTGGCCGGATTAACTTTCGTTTCTCAGCAGTCTCGCTGCTGAAGTAGCTTTATCGAGTTAATTTGACGTATTAAAGGATAAAATGTGAAATTGACGACAACGCGAATTGACGTTACAACGTGAGAACGACAAGATAATAATTAGTGATCGTAAGGATCTGATTTTGTCAGAAGTGCAAAATTTATGTTCAATTTAGTTTATTTCAATCCCTTGGCACTCGATAGTGTTTGTACAAATATATATATACACACAGGAGGAGGAAAGAAAACTGTTGGCTGCGATTAAATAGCGTTCAATCTGAAACCGGGCGTAGGTAAACAAAAATCGATGATGCAAATCGATCCGAATGATTATTTGCCCGGTATTTTTGACGATCGCATAATTGGAAAACGTTTCCAACGACACGGGCTACACCGCGTGAAAATACAATAACAGCCCGGCGACGCCCGAAGATATTTTTTTCGAAAATATCAAGATCAGCCTACCTAGTGGGTTTAACTCTATCGACGATTTAGTCGCCGCAACGTTTCCTTTTTTATTTTTTTTTTTTTTTTTTTTTTTTTTTTTTTTTGGTGGCAGAATTTTTGGTTCCCTGAAGAAACTTTCTCACGTGTATTTTTCATATCTGCAATTAAGCAGATGATGAAAGTTGTGGAAAAAGTATGCTTGAACTTAGAGCAACGTCATCGATTCTAAACTAATTCGTCACTTGTTCCTCATTTGGACGTTATTGATATCAGAGTCGGACATTATTCGAATAAACATATTTTTAAAAATTATTAAATAATTTAATATTAAAATTATTAAATAATTATTCGTATATATTTTCTTTCAGTTGAACGTCTTATCTGAATGGTAATTATTCGTAATAATTTATACTTATTTTATTTAGTCGGACGAGTTTCTTGAATAATGCAATGAAGTAATCATTGTTTTTGCTTTAAATTTTTACGCGTGCATGCGCAATATTTGAAAATATGTTTATATTAAAGTAAAACGTGAAAAACATGACAAATTACTTCACACGTTAAACATTTTTACATATGACATAATATAACCAGATAAATATAACAATAATCATTCGAACAAATTTTTATTTACTCGATTCATTCAAAACTTTGTTCCTTATCTGTCGTGCAAACAAAATTTTGTCCAATACTGAGTCAATAATCAATTTCTGTTCAATCAAATTATTCAGCAATTTAAACTTTCGAAAGTTACGATTCGTTACATCACTATGTAAATATCAATTATCTTAGTAAGGTAAGTAATTAGATATAATTAATCGCCACGGTCCGTGGCGACCGATTAATGTTGGAATTTCGTTATAAAAATGAAAAATGGAAACAAGAAAAAAAAAAACAAACATTTACGATCGGTTCGTTACGAAATAAGTCGCCGACCAGTTACGATTTCAATTTACTTATAAAACACAGTATCCCGCTTAGTAAGCAAGCAGCTGTGTTTTGGAAAAAATTAAACAAGAAGATAAAAAATACAGAAGTTTAAAATCAAAGTTTAAAATACAGAGTTTTAACATTCGCAATAAACTTTTTAAAATTTGTTTACGTTTTTTAAATGTAAAATGCCATTTAATTACGTTTAAATGTAAAATTTTTAACATTCGCAACAAACTTAAAATTTGTTTACGCTGTTTAAATGTGAGATGCCATTTAATTATATTTAAATGTAAAATTTTTGACATTCGCAATAAATTTAAAATTTGTTTACGCTGTTTAAATGTAAAATACCATTTAATTACGTTTAAATGTAAAATTTTTAACATTCGCAATAAATATAAAATTTGTTTACGCTGTTTGAATGTAAAACGCACGCTGACGGACCAGCTACTGAACATGTTCAATCGACCTCACAGACGACCTCAATCACGTTTTTACCTCATTTCGAAGAAACAGAAGTATTTCACAACGATTCTAATTGCTTTTCCTATTTGTTTTCGGCTTTCAACAACCACTCAACGAATCACTTCAGCGAAACGGATCGGAAGATACTAAATTTGGAAGCGACTAATTGCTTACGTGAAAAAGGAATCATTAGATTTCACCGCAATTTGTTTTCAACTGGATTGGTACCACTCGATTAGTACAAATTAATTCCAGTCGTTGAGTCTCTATTCATAGAAATTATTAACGAGTGAAAACTGGTCGCTCTGGAGTTTTAACTTTCAGTGATTGAAAACAGTTTAATAAACAAGAATACGAATCATTTAAATTTCCTGATTTATGTGGAATTCGTTGGAGTTCACCGCGATTTCTTCCCGATTGTTCCATTTCTCAATCATTATAATTCCATATTTAACGACTCTATTCGTAGAAATTTTTAACGAGTGAAAACTGGTCACTTTGGAGTTTTAACTTTCCGCGAATCAAAACAGTTTAATAAACGAGAATGTGGATCATTTAAATTTCCCGATTTATGTGGAATTCGTTGGATTTTACCGATTTCTTCCCGATTGTTCCATTTCACAATCATTATAATTCCATATTTAACGACTCTATTCGCAGAAATTTTTAACGAGTGAAAACTGGTCACTTTGTAGTTTTAACTTTCCGTGAATCAAAACAGTTTAATAAACAAGAATACGAGTCGTTTCCCGATTTCAATCGCATAACAACCACGCATAAGTGCATAATTTTTTAGTCCGCTCGTCGATGCTTGACTCCTTACGATTTTCAAACATTCCACAAGCAATTACGACTTCCGAGCTGTTATTAGCTGGCAATAAATAGTAACAATCGCAGCTCCGACACGCGTTCCATTTTATCTTTTCAACGACGTCTGTGAATTATCGCACGATTATTCGATTCAAACTAATCACGACCAGAGGAACAAGAGCAAGTGATTGTAAGAGAGAAAGGTTCCGTTTCTTTTTCCCTTTTTTTCATCTGTTTTTTTTTTTTTTTTTTTTTCCAGTAACGAAGTTTCTCAGCGCTGGTTCCAGTCGAGCCGCGAGATAACATGGCCAACGTCACGAAACGATTTGCACCTCGATTTACAGCCTGTTCGGTGCACTACTGCAAGAAACACTCGGGCGAACGTGGACACGAATCAAAATTCGTTCTCCTCTCAAGAGCAAGTGAAAGATCGACCGTGCGTTTCGTTCTCGAATTCAATTTATTAGATCCTAGCCAACAATTTACTATCCAGCCTACGTTTTTCTCGATCACATGACGCTCAACGATTGCGTGGCGCCGCAACCGACCGATCCCTGCATGTAGTCCGGGAAGTTCGACTCGAGCACGCGCATCCTGGCTCTCGCGTAATCGGCGACGACATGGGTCACCAGTGAACAATCGGCGCTGGTGTACACTTGGTCGAAACACCGTGAGACGAACGGATTGGTCGCGTCCCATCGGTAAACATCCGACTCGCCCTCGTACCGGAAGAAGAGCGCGCTGCCATTGTCCGTGCCCAGCAGGACCATTTTCTTCGGCTTGGCGCCGAGATCGTGGATCTTCCCGTTCGCGGAACCGCTGCGCAGGTGCTCGGTCCTGATCGAGAACATGCGGCTGCTGCTCAGGTAGGTGAAAATCAAGCAGGTACTGCCGTCCGAGCGTCGGAGGAGAGCTAGATAGAGAACGTCCCTTCGTGTTGCGCCCGTAGCGACCGCCTGAGGCAAAACCACGCGGTGACCTCGACCGAGGGTGACGTCGTAGACGAGGATCGCTCTGGAGGCAGCGTCCGACACGTAGACGAACACTCGTCCGTCACGGCTATAATCGGACACCAGGTATTGGAGTCGGGACGTCGAGGTCGTCAGCCCGGTCAGGTCTATGGTTTTCACCAGCTGCGAGGGAGGATTCGTGTGAATACCAATAAATGTGCAAATGCTAGCAATTGTGTAGATATGTGTATGTGTGTGTGTGTGACTAGTGTAAATTAGTAAATGGTAAATAAGTGTGCAAACGTTGGATAACGATTACTTACGATCTTGTGATACACCGAATTATTATTGTTACAAGTTCGTAAGTTAGTTGTTATAGATAGAGAATTATTGTAATGGCTACATTATAAACTATAATTGATTAAATTATAATCACGAATCTTTAATCGATATAATATGGAACGTAAGAAAGAAGAATCTACATTGAGAGACATGATCGTCTCTTGTCAGACTGTACTAGCTTTTCATTCGAACTAACACGAAATGAATGTATCGTAGGGAATAGAATGACAAAATGGCGCTTACTTTGCCCGTGACCACGTTGATAGCGAGCACTTTTGGCGGACATTTCCGTACAGGTTCGTCCAAGGTGCTCACAACGCCAGTGTCGAGGACCCAGAGGATGTTCTGAGGATCCAGATAAATGTCCACAACGTTCTGCAGTGCTGTGCAGGTTCCTTCCTCCTGGAGGGACCAGCAAGGATATGGAACAAGGGTTGCTTCACAGTTTTCGCTTTTGTGAGAGATCTGCGCCAACGTTGCTGGAATACCAGCCTTGTACCTATATATTGAAAAATTGATAATTAATGAAATTAATGAAATTGACAAAATTAATAAAAAAATTAATTTAATTTTAATATTTGTAACATGTAACATCCGACTCATTTTTCCATTCATTCGTGTTAAATGAAAAGGGAACTTTCGCTCAAACAACTGATTGATATCTATATGTATGTTATGAAAAAGAAATCTTATGTGTATTGAAACTGAAGTAGATATAAATATAATAAGACATACATATAAGCACCGAAAGTCTTTTTTCTAAAGTTGTTCGTCAAACTGAACTCTTTTGGTCAGACACGACTGTTTCAATTAAGAGAAAGGCAGATCTCGATGTGATCTTATCAATTAATTTCTTTCAATTTCTTTAGATCCTCCAGATACTTATTATTGTTGAAATTTTATTTCATCAATAGGATCAATAATTTCAATAAACTAAATTATTATTTTTAATTTATATTATTTTTGAAGGATTAATATCTAAACGATCTGTTTTATTTAAATTTTATCAATCATCATTAGAATGATTAAATAATTATCCTCCGTTTAATCATATATGTAATGAAGCTCCATTAATTATAAATAAAATAAAAAATATCATTAATAAATAAATTTTTATATGGCAGAATAATGCTTTGAATTTAAACATTAAATAAAAAATTTATATTTTTATGAAAAATTTCGACATGAATAATATTTATGTCACAATAATATTTCATGATTCAAATTCATTATATTCAGATCATTTCATTTCATTTCACAATTTTATCATATTATTTATAATTATAATTGTTTCATTAACGTTAATCTTTATCTTAGATTTAATATTAAATAAATTTTTTAATTTATCTTTATCAAAAAATCGAATTATACAATTGAAATTATCTGAACTTTAATAACAATATTTATTTTATTAACAATTTGTTATCCATCATTAAAAATTTTATATTTCATTAATGAAATATTTGATCCTTATTTTTCTATTAAAGCAATTGCTCATCAATGATATTGATCTCATGAATATTCAAAATTTAATAATTGTGAAATCAATCGTTATAAATAATTATATATAATAAAGAAGTAATTAAGTATATAATAAATAGAAATAATTTTTTTAATTTAAATCAATTTTAAATCATTAGAAACAGAAAATCGGTTTGATTGGTAAAATTTAAATAAAATAGATCGTTTAGATATTAATCTTTCAAAAATAATATAAAAATAATAATCTTTAAATATCTTTTTAATAAAATAATAATAATAAAATAATAATCAATCTTAAAATAATAATAATAAAACAATAATCTTAATATTAATAAAATAATGATAAAATAATAATCCGTTCATTGAAATTATTCATCCTATTGACGAAATAAAATTTCAACAATAATAAGAACTATTCCATTTAAAGTTCCATTACGATTAATTGTCTCATCATACCTGGGCAGGGCCACAATGGCCTTGTTCTCAAACATAGCGACCCTAGTTGCGATCACGTTCTTCGAGATGTATTTCCCGCTGCTTTTGAACATATTTCTCGTGGTGGAGCAGGGCCATTCGAAGCTGCCGCCGGTCCATTTCACGGTCTCTGGCAATGTCGCGTTCGTTAACGCGAGAATGGCCACGAGGGCCAACGTGGTGAATGGTGAAACAAATTGTCCCTGGCCGTGCATAGTATTTCTCTCGCGGAGACGCAACTGAGAAATCCGAGAGATTACGCCAGTTATATACGAGGTGATGGTGTCTTCGCCAGGTGACGAAATGCAGGAAGAAAAATTTCGCATTTCCTTCTTTTTTTTTTTTTTTATATATACCTCTTTGCGCTTGAGGAACCCGGAAACAGTTCACGAGAGATCGGATGTTTTTCAACATTCTTTCTATTGTTGACAAAATCGCAATGCCAATGTTACGATCGTGTCCCGAGCTGTTTGTCACGTAGCTTTGTACGACCAACTCATTATACATAAAATAATTAAACGAATGGAAGAAATTCTGATCTGACAAGCGAGAAGCTTTCCTTGTTGTTTTGGTAAACAACATTGAGAATACACTTCCTCGTAGTTGCTCGTTCGTGCCGTTTCGTCCGTGTTGGAAGCGTTGCGACAACCGGAAGGACGCCCCGGCTTTGCAAACATACAAAAGTGCACGATTGCTCGGTGTACGGAAATCTACGGGCTCGTTTGTATATAAGCTGAAAATCAGATATAACGTTCGCGTATTCGAGTGTTCGTGTTGTTCGTCGTAAAATCGCGTAAGTCTCTTCTTCACTTGACTCTGGGATAATTAGGCTACGGACGTTTGTATGGATACATATTTTTATACGAGCGCAACGGGGCCTGATTAAAAGTCTCTCATCTAAAAAGTTGCGACTACGCTTCTTCTTGCATCTTTCGAATTCCCATAAGTGCATAAACATCCGTAAACCGAAAAGATTCTTATTAAATTAATAATACGAGAGTATAAACTGTTTCGGTGTGTCAGTTGAGAAAGTAAACTGCATGTTAATAAAATGGGATAAAATTTTTATTGAATATGGTATCATATTGAAAGCCTCCAGATGAATATATAACAATATCAAATGTGTTCTGTTTATCCTTCAAAATGGAAATATCTTTCGAGAGATTAAAATTGTAAAAATAATGTTCCTGTAAAAGTTGTGTGGTATAAAAGGGCATATTGTGTGGTGTTAATCGTTAATTTTTGTAGAGGGAGGAAATTTCAAGATCAAGTTGACTCATTCAGGTATGAGGGTCGTGTAATTTTGAACGCAACGGTAGATTCATTCTTTATAAAATGATAAATCAATTATTTATGTCAGAAAACTGTTTGTGTTTTTTGGAGATATTTTCACTTTAATTATGTAAAAGTTATGAAAGACTTTACAAAATTATTAAATATTAATATTAATTAAATATTAAATATTAAATATTAAATATTAATATTAATTAAATATTAAATATTAAATATTAAATATTAATATTAATTAAATATTAAATATTAAATACTAATATTAATTAAATATTAAATATTAAATATTAAATATTAATTAGATATTAAATATTAAATATTAAGTATTAATATTAATTAGATATTAAATATTAAATATTAAGTATTAAGTATTAAATATTAATATTAATTAAATATTAAATATTAAATATTGAATATTAAATATTAAATATTAAATATTAATATTAATTAAATATTAAATATTAATATTAATTAAATATTAAATACTAATATTAATTAAATATTAAATATTAAGTATTAATTAAGTATTAAATATTAAATACTCCTATTGATAAATGAAATAAATATTAAATATTAATATTAATTAAATTTAATTAATAATTAAAGAGAAAATATCTCTGAAACTAATAGTTTCTTAATACTTTATTTATAGACTCATCGAGATGAATCGATTGCTGCATTCAAAATGACATAATTCCATTTACAAACCCACAAAAATCACCTACAATAATTATTAATACTAAACAACTATTTTTATATATATATATATATATATAAAACTTCAATCTCTCACTCGAGATATTTCCATTTCGCGAGAGATGAACAAAATAATACAGGCCCATATAATCTTTGTATTTCACTCGATCATCCTTTTCACAGTTCCTTGAACCATTCTCCGCAACAAACAAGACAGAATGAAGAGGTTCCTGTGCGTCGCCATTTGTCTGACGATCCTGACGGAGATCCTACTGTTCGGCAATGGTAAGCCGCTGCTACCGAAACCATTGGTCCTCTCGGGGTTCAGCCTGGACTGGCCGTGTCAAAGCACGAAGAACATATACGAGACTAGCGGCCGATACATCTCGAGGAACGTGATCGCCACCAGAGCGCAGATATTCGACGGCCAAGCGATATTGGCACTGCCGCGTTACAAACCGGGCGTGCCATTTACATTGGGTGTCCTCTCGTTGAAGTCGCACAGCTGCGAGCCAAAAATCGCTCCGTTCCCCTGTTGGGCCATTCAAGAAGAAGGGAACTGCCAGGCGTTGCAGAGCGCGGTGGACATAGTATTGGACATTCAGCACATCCTTTGGGTCCTCGATGTGGGAATCGTCAACACTCTGGAGCAGCCTGTTCGCAGATGTCCACCGAAGGTTGTTGGAATCAACGCCAAGAGCGGAAAGGTGAGCGGCGTGCTTTGATCGTTGAGACCAAGTGAAAGTAGAATTTGCCGTATGATCGTCGTTCAACGACGTGGTTGGAAAATTGTGGTCAATGACAGAGATATTACGTAGTTAATTACGAGTAAAACTTCCATTTAATTAACCATTAAGGGAACAGAAAAGGCTTCTTTCGAGGCTTGGGAATATTGGATATGTGTTTTTTTGAATGGGATAGATGCATTAGATATTGAAACAAGATGTACCAGATATATATAACATATAATTTATAATAATAGATAATAATAAAATATATTTATATTATTATATATAATTATATATAATATATTAATATACAATGTTTATATTATATATTATATACATATATAATATATAATAAAATATATTTATATTATTATATATAATTATATATAATATATTAATATACAATATTTGTTATATATGTATATTAATATACAATATTTATATTATATATTATATACATAATAATATAATAATAAAATTATATATAATATATAATATATAATAATATAATTATATACGTAGAATATTTTTGAAATAAAATCCCAATATTACATTTGTGAAAAAATGCCTCTAAATGTTAGATTCATTCCATTCAATTAACCTTTAAAGGAACAGAAAAGCTTCCTTTGAGGCTCGGGAATTGGATATGTGTTTTTTTGAAATGGGATAGATGCATTAAATACTAAAACTAGATGTATTAGATACATATATATATATTATATAATAAAATATATATAATATATAATAGTATGTAATAATAAAATATAATTATTCATTATTATATTAATATATAATATCTATTATAATAATAATATACAATATTTGTTGTTATATTATATATTATACACATAATAATATAATAATATACAATATTTATTATTATATTATATACTCTATGTATAATAATATATTGTATAATTATATATAATAATACAATAAAATTATATATAATATATAATAATATAATTATGTACATGGAATATTCTCGAAATAAAAGCCCAATATTTGCATTTGTGAAAAAAATTATTCAACAAATGCAAATTTATTAAATTTGTTAAATTCACATCGGATATTATTTGTTCCAGGTTGTGAAAGTGTTCGACTTATTATATTATTATATAATTATATATAATAATATAATAATAAAATTATATATAATATATAATAATATAATTATATACATGAAAATATTCTCGAAATAAACGCCCAATACTTACATTTGTGGAGAAAATGCCTCTAAACGTTAATCCTTTGAAGTTCCATTGAAGATCATCTTACTCGACAAATGCAAATTTATTAAATTTGTTAAATTTACATCGGATATTATTTGTTCCAGGTTGTGAAAGTGATCGACTTAAGCTCCATGGTAGATATCACATCGCGGTTGCAATATATGGCCGTCGACTACGCGGAGGATGGTCAAGTTTATGTGTACATTTCTGACGCTGGTACCGGCGCCATTATCGTTTACAATGTCACGACCGACGAGGGATATCGCGTGATTCTACCGTCGGCCGTGGCGTCCAGCACGGATAAACCTGATGCTCTGTATCTAGCGCTCGTTAGAAGGAAAAGCTGCGGGTCTACGGTCCTCTATTTCACGTATCTAGGTTCCAATCGAATGTTCGCGATCAAGGCAGTGAATCTGAGAGCAGGCAACGCGCATGGTTCTATAGTGGACATTGGTAGAAAAAGGAATAAGATCGTAGTCTTGGGCACTGACAATGGCTCCGCCATCTTCTTCAGGCTTAAGGGTAAAGAAATTGAGATAAATAATCAGACACTGTGATTCTATGCTCTCCATAGTTGAAACGTTCTCTACGTCATTTTGAAACGAAAGTTTCATCATTTTCCTTTGCGTGTTCGAACGAACGGATGTAGCGTTATTTAAAATATTTGAAATATTAAATGTTTAATTTTTAGTTTTAAATATTTGTAACATTAAATATTTAATTTCTAATTTTAAATATTTATAATGGTAAATATTTGATTTTTAATTTTAAATATTCATAATGCTAAATATTTAATTTTTAATTTTAAATATTTATAATACTAAATATTCAATTTTTAATTTTAAATATTTATAATACTAAATATTCAATTTTTAATTTTAAATATTTATAATACTAAATATTCAATTTTTAATTTTAAATATTTATAATACTAAATATTCAATTTTTAATTTTAAATATTTATAATACTAAATATTCAATTTTTAATTTTAAATATTCATAATACTTTAACTTTTAATTTTAAATATTTATAATATTAAATATTTAACTTTTAATTTTAAATATTTATAATATTAAATATTTAACTTTTAATTTTAAATATTTATAATATTAAATATTTAACTTTTAATTTTAAATATTTATAATATTAAATATTTAACTTTTAATTTTAAATATTTATAATATTAAATATTTAACTTTTAATTTTAAATATTTATAATATTAAATATTTAACTTTTAATTTTAAATATTTATAATATTACACTTTTAATTTTAAATATTTATAATATTACACTTTTAATTTTAAATATATAAATAAACATAATATTTAACTTTTAATTTTAAATATTTATAATATTAAATATTTAACTTTTAATTTTAAATATTCATAATACTAAATATTTAACTTTTAATTTTAAATATTTTAATATTTATAATATTTCAACAGCGTTATTTATAATATTTTAAATATTTAAATAACGCTAATTTGAGAGACTTCAATTTCACAAATTGATTTCTGGCTGTTTCTCCGATATTTTCAGGCGAATCCAACATCTACATGTGGAACACAGACACACCTTTCGTTCAGGACAACTTCCTTTTGGTCGAGAAGGCTGGAGAATGTCGTCTACCGACCGCGGTCGTTCCTGGTTACAAAGATCTAATGTGGGTAATCGAAAGTAACTTCCAAGATTACATCGAGAACTCTGTCAGCTGTTCCGGACCATCAATGGCCATTCATCCGTTGGTGAATTCTTGCAGCGAGTGACATTAAGAACCGAGAGCGATGCGTTTCATAGTACACGGTTCTCACACGATTGTAACTTAATTTCGTTAGCCTTTTGACAGTTATAGAATATTGCTCGAAAGGTTAATCTAGTCATAAAACGCCTCCTCCGTACAGAAATGAATTGCTCTTCGAGGCATAGTTGGGCAAATGATCGATCTCAACGATTAACGATGAAATTCTTTTAACAACTTTTAATCGTAATTATTACATTTCATTAGTTGCAACTGTTGCATTTCAACTACAGTTTGTTAATCATAAGCAACGATTAAATTCTTAGTTTAGTCGTTAATTGTTCGTACAATAAATTTCAATTTTGATTGTCAGTTCGATGTCTTATCAACGATTAACTATTGAAATTTTTTTTGTTGTAAAATTAACGACGTTCCCTATTTTTTCAATGATGTGCAGAGTAAGTCTTCGTAAGTCCGTGAACAGTAGAGTAATATTAATTCTCGATGCAACGAAATAAAATCTCTTATTTGTTTAGTTAACAAAAGAGTAGCTGACATGTGGCTCTCCTAAAAGTTGACGCTTGATTAGAATGTCAAAACATATCTCCAATTTAAACGAAATTATAATTAAATTCGAGGTAATAATTGATAATTGATAACACTGTTAATCGATTAAATTTCATTTATCAAAAAATCGGCCATTTTTCGACAATTATTAATTAAACTGATAAAATTTTTATCGATTAATGCCCAACTCTGCTTCGAGGAGCATCGAAGCTGGACAAATATCGACCAGTGTCAAATGAGAAGCTTCGAGGGCCATTTCCTATAAATGGCCAATCAAAACGAAGCGAACGTCATTGTAAAAAAAAAAAAGAACCAACAATTACTCATACGTAAATGAATAAATATTTCTGAATGTAATATTTATTAAATAACCTATTGTCCTTCCCATCGTTTTGTGCCACAGTCTCGTTAATAATTCCTCTACACGCGAGTACATGACGAAATTAATTTCGACAAGGTCGAGCGAACATCCACGAGAAATTGATGTCGACGTCGATTTAAAATGTGAAAGGTAAGGGATTAGTTAGACACGTTAGGATAACACGTGGAATTAAATCGTTAATCGAGAGGTTAATGCAGGACAAGTAACATTAACGAGCCAAATTATCTTCCAATCACTATGTTTTGCACGCAATTATCAATTTCTTTTTAATTCAATTACAGTCATAAATTTTACGATTTCAACAGGTGAACGACGTTGACAAACGTAATTTATTCTAGCACGCGTATATACAGGGTGTTCCAGTAAGAATTAATACTTGATTGTATCCGCTATTTTTGGAGACGTGAAGAAATATTATTTTATTAAAAGTTGTTCAACATAATGCAACGATAATAATTTTTTTTCTTGGGAATTTCGGCGATTTCAGAATTATCTTCTTTATTTTTTTTTTTTTTTTTTTAATAAAATTAATTTTTAAATAGAGATAATAGAATTTTTCTTTTTCAAACAGAATTGAATTTCTTTTTATGCATTAGTCAGTGCAGCTGTATGATATTAACCTATGCACTGCCAAAGAATTATTAATTTGGGGAATATTTGCATTTTCATTTTGCAAAATTTAGGAAGGCAGTATTCTTGTATTCGTATTGTCTTTGTAATTTCTCCTTATCTTCAAAAAACAGCGGAGACAATCAAGTACTATATCAAGCGTCTCTTTTATTGAATGTAAAACTTGATCGTTCGATCATTTTGTGACCAGTTTTATTAAGAATAAGATAATATTCTCGACACTTCGACCGGTTATTCGAGACACGTTCTTTATTTGTTCAACTCAGAAAATTTAGAAAATTATTCCAGTAGAAACATTAAATCACCGACACGTGGCTAAATAATTACCTTGTATGACGAGAAACGAAAACTCGAATGTCGGCCGGCATCTTTCTGAATTGAATCTGTATAGTTTAATAAATTGAATTAAATGCTGAATGGAATACTTTTGCGATGATAAATGACTGTGATGTAACGATGCTTCTTCAAGACCGTCAGCAAAAATTCAAATTCGCGACTCAGCGTTTTACAAAGTTCAACGACAGGGGAAACGATGATCATCGTATTAAATTATGCATGCTTTCGTTTTGAAAATTGAATAAAAAGAAAGTTGTCAAATCTCTGTCTACTTTATATCTCGTTGATATTTCGTTAAAGAGAAAAAAATTGTTAGGCGATAAATATTATTTGTTTTGTAAGAAATGACATTTGTCACTTTAACAATTGGAACTATTATGCATATGTATCTTGACGCAAAAAATTTCAAATAAGATGTAAAACAGTGTGTCTTGTAGTCGCAAATAAAATATAGAATTCTATGTTTGTACGATATCTTGAAAAATATCACGCGTTGTTTAAAAAAAAACTCGTCAATCTCAGAAATTCAATGATAATATCAACGGTTCAGCTTTTGCTTTTGACAATGTTAATACGTCGTCATAACTATCAGTCATTTTTACGTTTTCTCGAATAATCTTTACGTTTTTTTATTATAAATATATTGCTAGGCTAATCTTTTTCAATCATAAATATCATGATTCATTGGCTTTTCTTACAAACAGGCTAAATGTACATTTGAAATTATTTCCTTCCACTGCACTTTCAAACATTGCCATTCCTTACAATTGTGTTAATATCTTCATCTGGAAATCAAGGAATTATGCTAACGTGCAACAATTTTAATTGCATCAGGCAATATAAAATAAATTATATTAAATTATAATAAATTATATTAATTGTTAAATGATAAAATTTATATATAAAGTAATTTATAAATAAATATATATATATGTATAAAGTAAAATAAACTTAATTAAAATTTATATATAAAATATCTATATACATACATATTAATTGTGAAATGATAAAATTTATATATAAAATATATATATATATATATATAAAGTAATTTATAAATATATATAAATATATAATATTTATAAATATATATATAAAGTAATATATATAAAATAAACGTAATTAAAATTTATATATAAAATATCTATATATTAATTGTTAAATGATAAAATTTATATATAAAATATATATATAAAGTAATTTATAAATATATATATAAATATATAATATTTATAAATATATATATATATATAAAGTAATATACATAAAATAAACTTAATTAAAATTTATTAAGTTATTTATTAACGTAATTAAAACTTATTAAAATTATATAAAAAATATATACATATATATAATACGATAAAATATCAGGACTCTGATAAGTGTTGATAAAACAGAGTTGGATCATATTTTTTGTAACTCCGATGGAAGTATTTCGAACATTTTTTTATAGAAAATAGAAAAATAATAAAAACGGAGGAATGTCAGAGAAACTAATTTCTTTTGATTAATTATACACGTATTATAGCGTAAGCGTATCGTATTTGCACAGTGAAAAGTTTGGTCGAATGGCAACGTAAAGGTACCGTCTTACACTTACACTAAACTGCCTCACAAATTTCAAGTCTCGTTTATGCTCCTTGAATTTTCACGCGTCGCCAAGAACGGTCTCTCCGGCGTGGGGCACAGCAACATGTCAAGTTTTTTGTTACAATCGCTCAAAGTTTCGCTCTTGTTACCAACTGGTTCAAATATATTGTTCCATAATGTGTTTGCAACTTGAAACACACACCAGATGCATTTCAATCGCCGACATGGAAATTACCGAGACGTGCGATTTCATTCGTTGTTACTTACATATTGCATGAGCCTTCTGGTTGAAATGGAAATAGTCATAAGCTAAGTATGATAAATCGGGGAGGTTATTCTCGTCCAGCGGTATGCTCGAACGTTTAAGAATTGGTATAAATACTGCAGTGAAGTCATTTCTATTAAATTCTGGATAATTGGTGATTTCTTCTTCCATGTCTTGCCACCTGGAAAGACAGTGAAGACACTGAACGATTTGGAAATTTTTGAACGCAAAAACTGAGCTGACAGAAAGTTTATACAAACCTCTCAATTATTTCATAGTATATTGGTCTTTGGTCTGCGTATTTCAAACCAAACATACACGGACAAAATAACATAGAATAGACGTAGCATATCCACATGGTATCCGTTCCTCTGCGCGAGGCGACAATTTCTTTCCCGTTAGGCGGTGTTAGAACAAAAACGATAGTCCTTGGTAAATTGTCCCTGAGTATTCTAAGAGCGCTAATTAGGTTCTTTCTGTGATCTTCTAATATTGACCACGGGCAAGAAGCTGTACACACATTCCCACAGAAGTCATTGGCTCCGATCATCAATGTAATCAACTGAAAATATTATAAGAATGGATCAAGTAGGAAATAATTTTGGAAATGTGATTCTTTTTATATGAAATTGTACAAGGTACATTTTTGATTTGTTAATAATTATGTTATAATATATTTATATATTATAATACTGGATATATTATAAAATAATACTGGAAATGTGATTTTTTTTATGTGAAATTGTACAAGGTATATTTTTGTTTTATTAATAATTATATTATATATTATAATATTAGTATTATTTATTATATATTATAATACAATTATTAATAAAACAAAAATATACCTTGTACAATTCCATATAAAAAAAATCACATTTCCAATATTATTTTATAATATAATATATTATAGTATTATTTTATAATGTAATATATTCAGTATTATACTATATAATATAATTATTAATAAAGTAAAAATATACCTTGTACAATTTCATATAAAAAAAAATCACATTTCCAGTATTATTTTATAATATATATAATATAATTATTAATAAAACAAAAATATACTTTGTACAATTTCATATAAAAAAAATCACATTTCCAGTATTATTTTATAATATAATATATTATAGTATTATTTATAGTATTATTTTATAATGTAATATATTCAGTATTATAATATATAATATAATTATTAATAAAGTAAAAATATACCTTGTACAATTTCATATAAAAAAAAAAACACATTTCCAGTATTATTTTATAATATTATATATTATAGTATTATTTTATAATATAAAATATTCAGTATTGTAATATATAATATAATTATTAATAAAGTAAAAATATACCTTGTACAATTTCATATAAAAAAAAATCATATTTCCAGTATTATTATTATACAGTATTATATATTATAAAATAATTATAATTATATATTATAATTACAATATATTATGTATTATATATATTATAATTATATTATATAATAATATAATAATTATATTATAAAATAATTATAATTATATATTATATATTATAATTATAATTATATTATATATTGTAATATAATTATATTATATATTATATTATAATTAATTTATTAATATAAACCTTCCAATGCTTGTTCACATCTATCCTCGAGTCGTTTTTTATTTTATTCACCAAATGTTGCGCCATGTAAGGCATATCTTTGGACATCGCGCCACATTCGGCAACATTTAACCCCGCGCCTGGTTCAGTGCTTATGGAATCTTCGTATGAGTACCCTATTAATTTGGGATTGTATTCCTGTGGGTGAGAAAATTCTACTATAAAAAAACAAAGGCATTCGCGATCATAGCAGTTACTCGATTTATGTAAAGTGTCACGCGAGGTGAAAAAGACGAAATGGAGGAATAAAATTTTTTCGTTTTCGAGAAAATTGAGCCTGAAGTACACAAGTACACGTGCGTCAAAGCAAAATTTTCTATTTTCATGTAAATGACGCCTTGAGAAACGAGAAACGTTTCGTACCACACTGTTCACTAAATTCAAGTGTATTTAATAAATTAAATTTAATAAAAAAACATATGTTTAACAAATTTGACGAATCTTCGAGCTCGAAACTTTCTCGAAAACGAAACAATTTTAGTCTTCCTTTTCGATTTATTTATTTATTTATTTATTTTTTCTTTTTTTCACGTAGACCATACGCCCTGGAATGAAGAGTACTTTTAAAATGTTAGGGAGCGTCAGGTATTTCCGCCAAGTCTCTTGACCACCGATATTCGCCACTATGCCTCTGTTTTCCACCATTAGATCGAAAAAGTTAATCGACGTCAATCCAAGGCCGACTACTATAGAATCGCCCATCGCGGCAATGACATCTATGTCTCCTGGTCTCAGGCGATGAACTGACTCGGGAACCTCGGGAGACCTACCATCTGAAAACAATAAATTTTTATTAAATTTATAATAAATAATAAGATAAATAATAAATTAAACTTCCAACAAATAATAAAATTTTTTTATTACTTTATTATATGCAATATTTTATTTTTTTATTATATACAATACGAACATTTTGACATTATGAAATTGCAGAATAGACGAGAAAGCTCGGAAATTATATTATACTAAATCTTCTACAATTCTTCTGAAATATTAAAGAAGTGAACTGAACTTGAAATTACATTAAAGGGTCAGGACAGTTTGAAATTTTCAAAAAATCAAATTTTTTTGTTTTAAATAGTAGTTTGAAGTCTTGGAAATAAGATAGAAAAGGTTCTAGTCTTTAAAACTTAGACTTATTTTCGGGTATAATAATACAGAATAATATATCCGCGGATACAGAATAATTGAATTTGCATCACTGTTTACAACTTTCAGCAATATTGTAAAGTGTAAATCGTGTGATTTAAATGTTATATTTGATGAATCGAATATTAGAGGACTTGGATTCAATTTAGTTGTGAATTGTAAGAACTGTGAGCGACGATATATAAGTAAAAAAAATTAAGTAAAGCATACATGTGAAAAGTGACGTTCTGAAACTTTAAACGCGTTCTTTCTCGAAACTCAGTTTTTACGAAACGATGTGCAAGATATCTCGGAATCTAACCAACCGATTACCGTGAAACTTGGTACGTATCTTTAATGTAACATTTACTAGAGACTGACGATCGAACATTTTTTAATTTTCAACAATTTCGAAAAATATAAACAAAAAACGTAGAAATTTTTGGCACAAATTCGATACATCAGAAACAAATAGCTGCAATTTTCATAATTTTCACAAAAATGAAAATGTTGGATCGTCAATACCTAGAGAATATTGTTTACTTTTGAACTTTTCTTGCCTTTTTGTTGCAGCTAATCCTGGTTGGCTGGAATCATGCACACCATATTAGGCAATGTAAAAAAAAATTATAGGTAAAAGGGTGTCGTTAAAAAGTTAAATAACAACCTCTTTTTTTTCTCTTTTAATGTTGCCTTCATAATCTGTTAAAATAAACCACAAAAGCACATGTCAATCAAATATGTACTTTTTTTCTACTATACCTTCAAAGTGTTCGTAATTTTTAGGTTCGTCAAAAACTATCCTGCCCCCTTAATCCTTTCGAAAAGGAATCTCTAATTAAAATGTAAAATTTATTATAAAATATATTAAAATGTAAAATTATAAAATATATTAAAATGTAATATTATAAAATGTAAAATTTATTATAAAATATAAAATATATATTTGTTATAAAAGGATAAAAAGAATATTTCTCTGAGTTCTTCCAAGCAAATTACCATCGATTTGAATTATGCCACATCTCCTGTGAAACACTTAATTTAAACTGAATGATGAATTTTAAAAAGTGAAAACGTGAAGACGCAATATTCATGCGTTTAATTTTTTTTTTTTCTCAACTGGATATTTAGTTAACTACCTGTTACGTTGCAAGGAAACGGAACGTCCAGTGGGATTTCATCTTGAAAGATTTTTTCATTCCGTAATCGAATCATTCGCGCCTCATTCTTCGTCCCTGAAAAAAATCATTTTTCCAGCGTTTTCAACACCGAGCAAACTTTCTCAGAACATTTTACAAAAGTCATTCATCCGTGATTCATTGTTATGCTGTGATTGTCTCACGTTAACTATATAATAACCGCGTGCGTTATATAATAATCACACTAATTATTACTAGTTCACGCATTCGTGTTCATTTTCCATTAAGTTAAATTAAGTACGTCATTTCAAAGAAAAAATTGATCAGAATGCAAAAATATTCGTTCAGGTTTTTAAAATTTTGGTTTTGCACCGATTATGAATTCAAATTTGTCTATTGTTTATCGAGTAGAAAAAAAAAAATAAAAATAAAAAAACGTTGGATTCAGAAATTTTACATCATTTTATATCAAGGGCACAATTTTTCAAAAATAATTTTCATTTCTGTCCAACGAAATAGTTTATAAGCCTTAATTTCTTCTATTTTATTTCAATGTTTATTTCAATTTTATTTTAATGTTCTTTTCAAGACTCGTTTCGCTGTAAATTAACGTCAATCTATGAAAAAACAAGATTAACATCGCAGTCTCTTTCTTACAAATATTCTTATGACAAGAAAAAGAAATTATCGTGTAAGATTATGGCAATAAATAAATTAATACGTACCGTAATTATTCGCTAAAAATCTACGATATACACGATAGAACATTCTTACAGTCGAGCTGTCCAAAATACTTTCTTGCGCCACAGCGAACACGCATAATTGCAGCAGAAGGCACAAACAGAGCTTCTTCATCGTGAGATTTTCGTTTAATTACGGGTATGTGGCCAACAGCTAAATTCGATTCACAGTCACCGCCGAGTACGTGTATCATCGAAGCAGTCAACTGTGCACTGTGATGATTGCAAAGATTCGCAGGAAATATAGAATAGTTTCATTGACACAACAGTCTATTCAAAGAAAATGCATACGTAATATAGGCATTTATGAGAATGTGAAACTTACATATGTATGACTTTATAACGATAGGAAGAACATCAGTGTAGTAATTTAAGTTGTAAGTACATTATGTACAAATCGATGTATATTTTTATTTATATAAAGTGTTGAGATACTTGTGTGTTTAGATATATTTAATTTATATTTTATAAATTTANTATTTTATATTTTATATTTTATATTTTATATTTTATATTTTATATTTTATATTTTATATTTTATATTTTATATTTTATATTAATTTAATTTATATTTTTATTTTCACGAAAGTGTTGAGATACTTGTGTTTAGATATATTTAATTTAAAAAAAATATATATATATATCTGAATCTGAATTTTGTGGAATTTTACGTTTAATACGTATTGTAAATCAATGCGAATTTAAGTTTTTTTTCACATTTTAAATTAACTTTACATTTCAATTTCATATCCCAACAAAAGAAATAGAAATTTTCATAAATATAAGAAATGTCGTGATTAATTTTTTGCCTCATTTGCTTGTTTTATCAACAGTTTTTATTAGACAGCTTTTTTATACAAATTTTTATGCATATACAAGAAAGTCGATGACACAGAAATGCATAGAACGCGTGTAAAAGAATATAAAATATCTGAAGTGCAATACTCTATATAATAATTGATTTACAATAATAAATAACCATAATAATGCTCTATATAATAATAGGCAACAACAATCTTCTCTTTTCTAAATTTTATTATTAAAATTATGAATTTCTGCGTAAAAATTTAAAAAACTGCGTAACAAAGACGCACTCTTGCAATTGAAGCTGTTAAAATTTAAATTACATGTAAAGTATATGCAAAATAGGTATACGTAAATGAATAGATTAAGACGTTCGCGACAAATACCTGACCATAATAGAACTAATTTTAATGGCAATATTATTTAATTTCTTTCAATTTATTTCAATTTTTTCTTTGAGCTTTTTAATCGTACAAAAATGTAAAGACCTGTTCATAAACGTAACAACGGAAGGCAAATTTTCAAATTTACCATCACTCTTCTTTTATTTCAATTACTTTGCTGAAAGGACAATTATTTGACCCGAAAGGGCAAAAAAAATAGATTTAAGATTATTCGAGTCATATTTGACATTTTTTCACAACAGGTACTGAATTATGAAACGCGATTTAGTTAGAATTTTTAAATCTTCACACACAAAAACTTAGGATACAATTGCAATAGGTTGCAAATGAATTCTGTTCATTGGTATTTTGTAAATGAAAATTTATTCAATCCATGAACATTGGAATCATCATGTAGCGGACAAATAGTAGAACTAATTGCTGTTATTATCTTTGACGCACTTTATCTCTCTCCTTGTCTACAAAAGTGCAATTACCTGTGCGCGTGTCAAACAAACAAGCAATGTCATAAAATGTGACAAGAAATGAATTTCATTGAGATTTTGCTATTCACGCTTATTGATTAGAATTTGTAACAGGACTATATTTCCAGAATTTTACAAAATTGGAATTTTATTTCTAATGCAATTTTCATCGTGTAATTATTTTTCACGAAAATCATCGTACATCTGATTGTTCAAGGATTATTCTCGCGGCTGTTGCGTCGAGTCGATAAAACAGATTTTGTGATATATAGAACAAGCATGTACCACCATCTATCTTGTGGTGTTAGATCAGGTTTAATACATAGCAGAACCACAATCTATTCTTGTCACATTTTAGCACTTTTGTGGACAAAGAGCGTAACAGCGTGCAACAAAGATATTAATAGCGATTAGTTTTATTTTTTTCTCCGCTAAATGGTGATTTCAATGTCCATGAATCGATGAAATTCAGGCCAATTTGTTGGTTTGACTCGAGAAACCACGACTGTGATTAACCAACTAAAAAGCTTCGATATAAAACCATTATTTATTATCGATAAATTTCTAAAAGATACACAGATCAAATATTTCAGAATTATAGAGAACTTTCTCAAAATCAATAACCTCAAAATATAAAAGGGCACACACATATATTTATTTTTATACTGCATTCACTTTTTAAGAATGTTCAAAGTGAAGAAAATTTAACTTATGTTATTCAGTGTGACAATAAATAGCATATAGGTCTATTCAATTAAGTAAAATAAAAACGAAAGGAAAGAATGATGTTTTCAAAATGGCCACTAACTTGTCAAAGACCTGAGAAAGATTAGCTTCTATGGATAGAAATCTAGCAATTAGGTTAACCAAACAGTTAACACCAAAATTGAAGTAAACATATTGTGCCTTAATAAAAAAAAAAAAAAATCGACGAAATTTTCATTTGCAAAAGAAGCTAGTTGACAGTATTAATTTGTGATGTTTTACAATTGCAACTTTCTAATTAGATTCTCATGCAAAATCCACTGTACAAAGATTGAAAAATTCTGCTCGATAAGTGGAAATAAGGAAATTCCCCTTCGAACAAAATTTAATTTTTTGTCAACTACGTTCGAAACTTGAATCGAAATTAAACTTGGACGTAGTTGAAAGCATCAGGTTTTGAAATGCAGATTTAGAATACCAGTTATGTAGTCACATAAAAATAGAAAATTGATTGCAAAGAATTAGCAAGATTGACACGAAGCTGTTCGATCTAAATCGAGTGAAATCTGTAACTCATTATTGGTCTTTTTTCGCAGATTAAACGGAATAACCTAATTCACAGTTCAAATATGAAATATGAAAGCAATTTATCAACGTCAAAACAAGCATAGATTATTGCAGCCTAGAGTTCTGCGTTCGATCATTTTCATTACATAACATGTCCTGTTTCATATCTGATCTGCAATTAATTACGAATCAATTATTATTGTAATTAGTTAATTTTAGATTTGATTTCGTAAGACTTTGATAATATTGATAAAAAATACTATTTACGCGGTTGCTTTAAAATATTTTAAAATACCACGTAAACGAACTGCTAATCGAAAAAAAAAAAAAAAAAAAAGATTAGACGTTGCAATTGAGAAATAGTGATACTTGTTGTGGGTATGAAGGAGAGGGAAGATTGAAATTCTTGTTGAAATTTTTCCCAGAGATACTGTTGAGGAATGAATCTGGTGAGGAAGATCAAGAGAAAACACGATGCTACGTGAAAGTGCTTTATTCCTTTCGGAGATCGTTCATCGCAGACATCGGCGTCGGGAATGCCGCTCTTATTTTTCTTTTTTATTCTTTTTTTTTTTTTCATATATGTGTACATATATGTATAAATATACATACACACATGTGCTGAGATGCATGTGTGTACATATATGTTATATCCTATGTACGTACGTACGTATGTATGCGTATATACATACATACATATATAGTCTAATAAGCGATCCTAATTATCGAATAAATTACCGTCTGATATTAAAAAATACGCATGTATATGTACATGTACAATTACAACACACGCCAGGACGGCAGGAATCCTGGTCCAGTGAGATCTTAATAATGATTCTTTTTTTTTTTTTTTCATTTTTCTTTTAAAACGAAGGTTGAATGTACAGTATACACATTTACACTTATCGTTTCAGCAACAACAATTTTTATTGTACGTAGATTGCAAAAATTAAATAAATAATGACAGTGGTACATCGCGTATTGGACGGAAAGGCCCAAAACACTGCGCAGAGGTGTGAGAGGAAATTATAGGTTTAAATTCGGTCGAGGTGCGATTGCTTCTTCGTCTCTCTTTTTTGTGTTCTTTCTCTCTCCCTTTCTTTCGTTCTTTCATACTTCTTTTCACATGCCACTTTCTCTCTCTCTCTCTCTCTCTCTCCTTTTATTTTCACATACATTCGTTGTTTCTCATTCATTTACTTGCTTCCGATCGCACTAATTCATTTTGTCCTCACTCATTCCTTCTCAATGTATTAGCAATTCTTTTTTTCACGCTCTCTTTCTCTCTCTCTCTCTCTCTTTCTCGCATACACACCTCTTTCTCCCTCTCTCTCTCTCTCTCTCTCTCTCTCTCTCTCTCTCTCATTTGCCCGTCTTTCACTCATTTCGTTCTCCGTTACTATCTCTCGCGTTGCTTCTCTTCCCACTTTCGTTCGTGTTCATTCGTTCGTCCGTTCTCTCAAGTAAAAGCGGATCGCATTGCGAAAAACACAAACGGAGAGAGTCAAGTTCTCGATCATGAGAGTATTCACTGAAAAATGGTCACAGAAACAGATCCTTTGCGATTTATAAAAAATCTATTTTGAGGCATGCCCAGTAATACAACCAGACAAACAGCGCCGTTTACATCCGTTTCTCTCTCTCTCTCTCTCTCTCTCTCTCTCTGTCCTCCCCTCCCCCTTTTTTTCAAGTACCGTCCAAGTTAATTTTTCATTTTTTTTTTCTTTTTTTTCTTTTGAGATGCTCCTACGTAGTAATTAATGGTTTGGTTTCCGTTTTTTCCATTTTCTCTTCTTCTTCTTCTTTTTTTTTTTTTGTCATTTTCATCTCTGCTCTTTTCTTTTATATTACAATAATTAACATCGTCACATACAGACTTACACACTAACGATATGACTACAGCTCCAAACCAGCAGAGCGTTCATCGATGAAGAAGTAAGAATAATTTGTTAACGCGTCTCTTTTTCGTTATTCACCTTCTTCTTTTTTTTTTTTTTTTTTCGTTCATCCTCTAGCTAGCGTTCGCTCCCATCTCGTCTCTTCTTCTTCTTCTTCTTCTTCTTCTTCTTCTTCTTATCACCTTTATTACCGGAGGGAAGGTTCCCAACTCTTCCTTTTCTCGTTTTCCGACCCGATAAAGTCGATATGCCAATTTACATTTATAAAACGTTAGAAAATTATTCGTGAGCGTTGCCGCTTTTCGTGGTCTTTCGATTCTACGCTTGTACGAAAGTCACGCGTGCCCTGTATAGGTTTTCACGTGCGCATTATACTCATCACCGTTCATCACCTCGGCCCCCTTTGCCTTCTCGTCTAACAGAGACCAGAGACGTACTTCTACATTAAATAACACCGTATAACACTCTTCTCTTCAGCCTCTCGCCATTTGCCCAAAATTCCTGAACCCTCTCGCGTGCATTCTCGCTTCTTTCACTCCTCCTGCCAATTTCAACGTTACTAACGCCGGTCAACCCCTCTTGCGAAAAAAAAAAGGAAACGCTCCGATCCCCGTGTTCCAGATCCACACCGTCCGATTCCCTTCTCCATTTTCTCTCCCCACGATCGGCCGATCCGTCCAATTAATTTGGCGATGCCCATTAGCATAAGGGCACCGAGAGTAAGGCATGGGAAGGTTCGTTCGAGTCTCGGCGGTCGCATTCGCCGGATAATCCGATTCTTCGAAGTTAGCCAACAGTAGCTGGTCGATGAACTTGATAACTTAAATCAGGCTGAATATAAATCAGGTTGATATACTTTCGATCGCTGTTCCGCCGAAACCCTTTGGCGCCGATCGCGTGGAAGAAAGAAGAAGAAGAACGGACGGGGGACACGGCGGTTCTCGCGCGTTGCAATTCTTTTTCTTTTCCCTCGAGGAATCGTTTCATTTTTTCGATGATTTTCGAAGATAAAATGCGAGCCAATACAAAAGTAGTTTGGGATCTCGTTGACGGGCGCGTTATTATGGCTATAATATATATAGATTACGTAACAAAATATTTCTCGCCTGCCCCCCCCCCCCTCTCGTCCATCGTGGAAAGTTAGTTCGTTCGTTCTCGCATGCCCTCCCTCCCCGCCCGTTATTCAACCGTCCGTTTTTTTTTTTTCTTCTTCTTCTAAATCGTTTCTTTTTTTCTTCTCCCGTTTACTAAATCGTTTAAATCGTTTTATCGTAAATCGGCGCGAAATTTTTTCTGCGTGTGTCTCTTCGTGTGTGTACGCGAATTGCCGACTCGATTGTACGAAGGCATCGTGTAGGGAACTATTGAGATATATAATATATAATCATGCGTACGTTCTATATACGTAGTTTTAATGACGCTTTTTTTTTTTTGTTTTTTTTTTTCTTGCTTTATTTCCCTCCTGACGTTTCCATCGTTTTCTCCCTTCATTTCTTAATTAAACGATTGACCGATCGATCGATTTCTTTTTTTTTTTTCTTTTTCTTTTTCTTTTTGAGTAACGTTTTGAGTAACATCAGCTGACACTGGGTGGAGCACTCGTTTATTATTCCCTCTCTCTCTCTCTTTCTCTTCTTCTTTTTTTTTTTACTTTTTTTAATACTTTTCGTTTAAACACTAGAGTTGCGGGAACTTCCGGCACAAACAAGGAATGTCGTAGTACATTATATCAACATTTAATAAAATATCTGAAACATTAACAAATAGACTATATGAGTACTACATGTCTGCCCTTAATAATGTTTATTAGCTAATCGATAAGTAGTAATAATTTTTCTTCTCTCCTTCCACCTTTTTTTTCTCTTTTTTTTTTTTTTCTATTTTGTCGTTTCCCTCCTGCTATTTCTCCCCTATTCAACTGATGAATTTTTTTAATCGACAAATAGATAAGATAAATTCTGTTTATCGTTATCAAACGCCTCTTCTTACCACCTCTCACTTCCTCTGCTCGTAAACGTCGTCCACCACTTCACAAACGTTGACAAATACCTGACCATATATGCGTGATCGTTCACGACGCTCCAATCGTTCGCGTCGCATTCACACATTTGTTTCCGTATTTCTCTCTTCCCTGTCCTTCCTCGTTTACTTATTATTTTGCCGAGCAAAAACCAATTTGCATATTTCTTTCTTCTTCTTTACTTTCAGTGACAAACGGGCTCCCCATTTACTACTTGTTTTAGAAACTTGTGTATATGCAACGACGACGAGCTGGCCAGTGGACGTGATCACGCTCGCTGCATGATAAGGACAAACTGCGTCGCGCGGTATTGGAAAGAAAATACCAGAGAGTACAAAGGTACGCCCAACAATGCAAAGTGTTCGTCGCTTGAAAGACAAAGCTCGTGGTTTAGCTGGAGTTTTTCAGAATGAATAAGCTTGTGGTCGAGGTTTTTCGGAGAAACGGAAGCAATTTTCTTTTCTTCTCTCTCTCTCTCTTTCTTTCTTTCTTTCTTTCTTTTTTCGTGTCGAGAATTTGCGTTATACAAAAGTAATTAAAAAATCTCTTTTTAGCTTCGTAATCGCGCGCAGCGGTCAGCTACGGGGGAATAAGTTTCCATTTTTTTTTTTTTTTTTTTTTTTTGAGAAAAGGCGGCTGCTAGCTCGTATTTTCGGTGGAAACGCACCCTTCCAAGGGACGTGGCTTCTGCACGGTGAATCGGCTCTGCATGGAGACCGTTAATTTTTTTTCTTCAAAACCTTTCTGTCTTTCTCCTGTTTTCATTCCATTTCTTTTTTTTTTTTTTTTTCGATGGTTGTTTCGCTCGGCGGAAATGTTGTATTTTAAGATGCTTGAAAATACGAGGACGCGGCTGACGGATTTCGAGTCGAGAGGGATCAAGAGTCCTCCTTTGTCCCTGTGACGAAATATTTTTTTCCGACGCGGCGGAGAATCTGGATTTTTCGCTGTGTTTTCAAGCCCGTCTCTCTCGAGGGTATGTCAGAGAATAACGTGAAGAGGAAACGTTTGTGCATGTATGTATGTACACACAATATCGGACTGACTGGTGTGTAAAGAAGTCCGTATATTCGGTGTATATCTGATAATCTGAAACCACAGAAGTTTCCGGCCGACTCATTCAACGGCAAGTTTTCAGCCGATTTTACAATGAAATTCGTGGAAAATGTAAGTTGCGGAGCGTGCAAAAGAACTAGGACTCGTACAAGTCACTACTCTTTTTTCCCTCCCTTTTATTACATCCTTCGTGCATATCCCTGGAAACTTGCCGGTTCATTTACCTTAATTAATCATGACTGACGAACTACGATGTATACCAAGCCATGCAACGTTAATTCACTCGCTCGTACACACCGAGGCGCACGCTTCTAAAACATTCCGTAGAAACGGATAATGGGCGCACGTTGCTTTATTCAGTCGCTCGGAAACAATTGCATTAGCCTCGTCAAGCAGACATACCACGGTGCTATTTCTCTATTAGGTACGAAAAAATATCGACGTATGTTTTCAACTTCATGCGTTGAACTCGAAACTATCTAGATATTGATCCACTGATTTGGACGAGATCGTATATATAGAACTAAATTAATATCGTTGAGGAACGAAGTTACCATCGATAATAAATATTCTTGTTTTAAACTAAAACCGAACCGATTATTCTAAACAGTTCAACACGAGATGAGAAGTTTACACTACTCGTCTGTAATTTACGAATTCATTAATACTGTTTGATCTACAACAGAATCGTTCGATTTGTAATTGGAACTTTCCTATCGTAAGAATTATAAGAGAGATCGCGGTTAACGAAAAACGTCAGTACAATCCAGTTACGCGTCGGTGAGATCAAAGAATAGATAGACGAAACTCTAACTATGCTAACGTACAATTAAACTCTGTCGTCTCTCACTTTTCAATCATCTCCAATTTTAATCCAAACTGTTTGTTTCTCTGTTTTCAGTTGCAGTCCACGACCAGCGAATGGTTTCACAGTGAGAGTGGATCGCTGCAATTTCCTCGAATTCAGTCCTCTTTAGCGTAAGATGAACGAATGACCGACGAGCAAAGGTGACACGTACGCGATGAGGCCGAAATCGTGTTCCCTGTTCCTGTTGTTCTGCGTGCTACTGCCGGGACTGGTGCGTCCCTTCACATCCGGCGAAGGTGAGTCAAATTCCACCTTTAGTCTCTCTCTCTCTCTCGCGCGCGAGCGCACACGAGGGTGAAAACACGATGTTTCGCGGAGGAAACGACGACTCTCCGAGCTAGAATCTCGGCATCTATCGATCCAAGAACTCGAACGCGACGAAGTTGGTGACGAACCAAGCGGTCGAGTGCCACTTCGTGCGAGTTCTTTCGCCAGGGGAAACGAATGCTCGCTGCTTGGTAGATCGTTCGATAAGCTGGGAAACGGGCTGACTCGTTTCCGAGAAACAGCCGTCATTTTATTATTTTCTGTTCGTTCGACGAGCGCAATTAGTTTCCGCGATAAGCGTAGCTACTAATGTTCGTCGCTCTTTCGAATTTTCAGATGATTCTTCAAGGCACGATCCTTGTCTACTAATTTATTTGTCTCTCTCTCTCTCTCTCTCTCTCTCTCTGACAAAGTTGCTTCTTAGTAATTTACTCGCCCCTCTAACTCGTTTGCTTTCCTAATAAATTACTTCGTCAAAGCAACCAGAGAGTACAAGTGCAAAACTCGATGATAATAAATACCCTGTTGACGCCCGAAATTTCTTGAACGAACTTTAGACACACAAGGATTTCCAACCCCCACGATGCCAGGCATTTCTCGATCCTGATCCAAGAGTACGTCAGTAATCAGTGAAGTTCGAGGCTCAAGAGGAGGGAAACTCGAACACGGACATGTTTTTTGCGATTCCCTGGCCAAGAAAGAACCTGGTCTTGCTCTATGTGCACACGGAGCTAGTCACGAACCAACGTTCTCTCTCTCTCTTTCACTGTTCGACTTGGGAAAGGGAAAGGGTGAACACGGAGAGAGGGGCCAGGCAGATCTAATTATACGGCAAGTCAGCGTCGTTGATTAGTGGTGGGCATAACCGGCCGGTTACGTTACACCAGCCGTTTTCGATGATGGATTACGATCCCCCGGAGCTAGTTTTAAAGCGACCTTAGAGCGTCAAACAGGAGAGGGGTTTCTCTCTCTCTCTCTCTCTCTCTCTCTCTTTTTCTCGGTTTTCTTCGCGCGCCCCGCGAGACCACGTGGCCGACTAATTAGCGTCTCCGACATCCATCGACCTCGTCATCGCCGGGCGCAACGATGACGAATGGTGCACGACGAGCAAAAAATCACGAGGAGAAAAACAACAATCGTTACGCACAACGATAGAAAGTTCGCGGAATTATACGCTTTGGTTGAGGTACAGGCGGCTCTCGAGAATACATGTTTCTCGGGGAGCGTGCAGCGAGAGAATTATTGCGTTCTTTGAACGTTCTTCTACGAGCAGCAGAGTGAGTCCTCTGTTCGAAGCCAAGCTTCGATCGTGTTTCGCACATTGGTAATTGTACGTGCAACGTTTCAACAAGCACGACGCTAAAAAGAATCGAGAAGGGGGTTGTGAATAATACGCGGCTTAAGAGAAAGGTCGTTGTGTCTGTCTAACGCTGCCGTACCGTGTGACACTGTAGAAAACCGAGATCTGGACGGTGATAAGATACACATCGGAATTATCAATGTTTAGTTATCTAACGATAAATAGGGCGTATAAACGGATGATTAGAATTAACCACCTGCGCTGGCAACTGATTGCGGACCATAACGAGTGACCAGACCGTATAGAATAATTCGTCGCTCTCTCGTTGAACTTGTCGGCATGGTATCACTGGATAGAAATTATCGAGAAGTGATAAATTTATTATTTGTTCTGTCTATTTTGTTTAAAAAATAAAATAAATTTCTCGACGTGCGTGGCACGTCGTTCCAGCGCAAGAGATTAAAGCGACGAAAGTCTGGAATTTTAAGGCCAGTTCAACACAGCCCTGAAACACTAAATGAATCGATTCTACTTTCAGCAAAATTTCACGGTGATTGACATTTAACTACCTTCAAAAGTAAAGGAAACAACGACTCGACAATTTGCGCGACTGCAGAAGCTAGGAAATCGTTCGTTTTAACCGGGCGCGTTTCGCCGTTTGCATCTCATTCAAGTCGGTGACTCATTCGCGGATACGTGCAAACTCTTCCGACAACGTAAACTCGTCAACAGTCCAGGCAGAGCCACCATCGGTTTTCACCGATGCAACAACACCAGTCCAGACTTTTCTAACGCTCCGAGTAATTACGCCTCCCGACAGCTGGCACGGTCGTTCATTTTTTTTTTTCTCTCTCTCTCTCTCTCTCTCTCTCTTTCTCTGCGAGCCACGGAAGAGCCATCGCCATGCAAATTGCACGCGTCGACGTTTAACCACTTCGATTGTGTGTACGTGCCTGCGTGCAACTTTCCCGCGAACCTGTCGTCAACGATGCGGACGCCTAAGAAAATCGTTCTCTGTCCTTGCGTCGTTGTTAGCATGCTCGGTCAGTCGAAAGAGAAAAAAACGATCGAGAGAGAGCGAGAGAGAGAGAGAGGGAGAGAAAGCCTATCACGTGTGGAGAAACGCGCGTGTGAATAATTATACCGACGATTTATCGCGACGTGATATCGTGTCATAATTCCAGCGACTCGGCTAGCCGCCGTTCCGGCGCGCCGAGGAAAATATTAGCCACGTTAATAATTAACCGAGCAACGGGGTAGGTAGACGCCGCGCGTCGTTCTCACGTTTCGACACCGTGGCCCGCGTCGCGTCTTCAATTTTTCAGCGAAAGCCACCGAGTTGTGTTCAACCTTGAGAATTTTCTCTAGATTCTGGAGTCTCTTAATTCTGGAACCTCTCGATTCTGATTCCACTTGAGTCTAGTCGATTCCATTTCGATTTGATAGAAATACATGTAAAGAACCTGCCGCAGAATTTAATTCCAAGGTCGAAAAGAAATTTCTTCTTATTGTATTGTATGTATTCCTTTTTTTTTTTTTTTTTTTTTTTTT